GAGCCACCCAGACGCCCACCACTCTCAGAGCTGGCACAGAAAACATCCTCTATTTGCCATCTCTGTTAGTCTCTAAAATCCTTGACTTGATGGTTAGGTTAGAACTTGGTAAAAAGTGGTTCCAGCAGTTCCACAGTCTTGAACTTTTGCATTGGCTTCTCCACCGTCACCTGCTTTCTTCTTAAGCTCTGGGTTGCCCCCCTAGAAGACCCCAGCTGAGCCAGAAGAGGGGCCATAACTGCCTGAGGAACCCTCAGGTGCTGACAGCAACAGCACCCTGTGAAAAAGGGAGGGCACCCAGCTGACCTGTGGGAGACCATCCTAGGCCCCTCAAACCTAGGGCTCAGACTGATGGCCATCTCAGGGCTGGGGGCAGAGAGAGGAAGCAAAGGCCCCTGGAATCTGGGCTCTGACCCGACTTTGGCTTCAGCTTCCAGGAAGTCGTTTGTGTTTGAGCTGAACGAATGCACCTCCAGCCGTATCCTGAAGCTGGAGAAGGAGAACCAGAGCCTCCAGAGCACCATCCAGGGTCTGCGGGACGCGTCCCTGGCGCTGGAGGAGAGCAGCCTCAAGTGCGGGGAGCTAGAGAAGGAGAACCAGCAGCTCAGCCAGAAGGTAACCGTGGGTGGTGTCCAAACATACAGCAAGCAGGTGGCCAGGTGGAGCCCCCAGGTGCCGGTGAGGCTGCGCAGCTGGGAGAAATGCAGAATCCAGGGCAGCCACAGCTATAGTAGAGGGACAGGAGTACTCATTAAGAAGTCATGAGGCAGCGTGACATGTCCCTGCAGAGTGTGACCAGACACGATTAATTTCTGTGTGCCTTGTTGCCTTCATCTGTGAAATGGGGTTGACAATGTACCCACCTAATAGGTGTTGTGAGGACTGTGTGGTAAAGGGTCCAGCACATAGTAAGTACTTAATGGAAAGAGAGCAGCGCCCTTTTGAAAAGCACTGCGTGGGGCCACGGGAGAGAAGCAGTGACGGAAGATGTGCACTACGTGCGGGACCCTTGATGGGCTGTTTCAGGGCACTGCTGCAGGTAAACAAGGTCCGTGCTCACTTCCCTTCCAGTTGGTGGGATGAGGAAAGAGAGATGGATGAACTGCTTTTGCCTTTCTGGACAGCCCCCGGGTCTTCCCAGCAGCACAGTAGAACACGGACATCTGGGGGACAGGCAGGCTCACAAACCAAGCTTCGTCCTGCAGTCACGAGGACCCCATTCCCATGGCAAGGAGGGCCATGCGAGGCTAGGGACAGCCTCCTGGTGTTGGGCATCCTGGGTCAGAGGGCATCAGTACATGGCCACGCCGAGGATTGCACAGCTGCACTGTGGGCTCTGCGCGCACCTTGGCCGGGAGCCGGATTCCGGATGAGGAGGGGCAAGGGCATTCTTGCTTGCTGACCACCTGTGGGACTGATGCTTTCGAGTGTCTGGGTGTCTGTCCCGACCTGCCCATGACTCCTGCCAGCCCCATTTGCTGTGGCTACACTGGCAGTGGGAGGGACATGGGCTGCAGACAGGAGGTCTGTGTCCCGCTGGTCACAGCTCTGCTGATACTTTATCTCTGGATGAGGCTCAGGACAGCCCCTCCTTCTGTGAAGTGGTTTCTCCAGGCCTCCCGCAGGACGTCTGAGGTTCAGTTACTCTTGTCCCTTTGAAGCATTGTGTGCCTTGCAGCAGAGTAGCTGCCAAATAGTTTGTCCTTTCTTTGTGGGACAGTAGGAAGCCCTGCCTCGTGTCTCAGTGCAGTGCAGCACCGGGAAGCCGTTGGACAGTGCGGGGTTCTTAGCTTCACATGGGCCTGGCACAGGAAATGTCTCTGTAAATGGCAGTCTGACCTTGGCTGAGATAAAAAAGAACTGACCTTTAGAAAAATGAGAACCTCCATCTTGGCGGGTCCTCACGGGCCTGCAGCAGAAAGCCTGCGATGTAACCTCCGGCCCAGCTCCTGGCAAGGCTGAGAGATGCCCGCTGATGCTTCCCCTGCCCTCGGGGTCTGCTCCAGTCCCTCCTCCGCACAAGCAGGGCTCGCAGTGGGCGCCGTCACCCGGCATGACTCAGCCCCCTGTCTCTCGGGTCCCACCCCCCTCTCTGGATCCGTACCCTGGTAGGACACCATGGCGGTCCTGCCACAGCCCTTGGGAGGCATGCCTTGGCTCAGAGTCCCCGATAGAAGGGAGGGGCCGCAGTTCCCAGACCAGAGCTGCCCTTTGTCCTGTACCAGGGGTCCTGGGAAGGGCGGCCCTTCTCTCCAGAGCACTCCTCCTTCCCATCTTGCTCAGTCTGCTCAGGGCCTGGCTGTGTCTGTCCTGACCCAGCAGGGCTGGTTGTGCTTTCTCCCCAAGCCTGGCACATGACTGGTCCTCCCTAATGTTGGGTAGGATGGTGCCTCTTGGCCATCAGCTGAGTACCACAGGGAACATGGCCCGACATTGACCTTCCTGGGGCCAGGGTAGCACAGCCTCGGACAAGTCCAGACAACGCGGCCACTCTGGGAGGTGTCTGAGAAGGAGGGACAGGGGTCAGCCAGGACATGGTGGCCTGGAGTCCCCGACCCCTGCTGCTAGCTTGGCCCTCCCACCACACAGTGTCACCTAAGCTGCAGGCACACTTAGGCTGAATGTCTGTAAACCACAGTTCCCGAAGTTAACATCTTTCCCTGTAACTCGCAACACTTCTGTGGACCTTAGAGAAGATGCCTCTCTCACATCTAACTTCACATTGATATCCTAAGAATCCTGATTTTCAGAGGAGGAGGGGCAACCCTTTGGGGGCCTATCATGAGAACACAAGAGCAGCACAGGGGCTAATAGGCAAGTCCCTGGCACCTGCATGTTCTGGGGACATGGAGCCTCCCACATGAGCCCTCTCTGATGCTTTGAGGAGGACAGGAAACCCCGTGGGGCCAGCTCACATCTCAGCCCAGCAAGCTCTCCCTAGGGGAGCGGAGGTCCTTCAGGGATGCGCAGGAATAAGGGCTCCAGTTCCACAGCAAAAAGAACCAGAGAGAGAGAAAGGGGGGTGTCCAGCAGTGTGGGTAGGATGTGGGACAGCCACATCTTCAGACCAGAAGCAACAACAATCAGAAATGCAAAGGCTGGAATAACGTTCCTTTCTCTGGGACGGGAGAGGTAGCAGGGTAAAGTATTAACAGTAAGGCTGGGGGTTGGGGGCACACACCACAGGTTCCAGCTGAGAGAGCGGGGCTAGGCTCGGCCCACCGCTGTATGTCCGAGCTCTGCCGCATCCTCACTGTGGGGCTTTGGGCAAATCACTCCACTTCTCTGAGCCCCATGCCCTTCTTCAAATGATGGTCAGTGACAACTGCTCAGTGCCTTCCTCCTCGGGGCCACTCTCAGGCATAGGTGCTGCCATCGGAGGAGATGCCTGGTTCCCTGCTGAGCCCACGCCTTGCGCTAGGAAGTGGGGCAGCGATGAGGAAGGATAAGAAAGATGTTCTCTCTTTTGAGAAAGACTCAGACATGTTGCACATTACAGCACATTTTGCCATTGGCCCTGGCTGGGTGAGGCTCCCCCGTCCTCGGGTCCCAATGTTGGGGCAGGGGGCTTGGTATGTTGACAGGGTGACGTGCCCCACGAATAGGACTTTTGCATGGGCTCCGTCTTTGTCTCTGCAGGTTGAAAAGTTGCAGATCCAGCTGGAGAAAGAAAAGCAGAGCAACCAGGATTTGGAGACCCTCAGTGAGGAGCTGATTAAAGAGAATGAACAGATGCACAGTGACATGGAGACCCTGAAGGCTGACAAAGCCAGGCAGGTAGGCCCTCCCTGCAGAGCTCATGCCTCCCCTGGAACCCCTGCCTGTGAGAGGGAGAGTGTAGGATCATAGCCATGACCTGGTAATTGATCATTGACACATGAGTTACCAGTTTCTTCGCGCTGCTGCAACTCATACCAGCAATTCTCAGCTGCAGCAGGGGGACTGGGACAGATTCTGTTTCCCAGGGACACTGGCAATCTTGTTTTTGATTGTCATGACTTAGAGGAAGAGAGAGGAGGTGCTTCTTGCTGTGGTGGGTAGAGGCCAGGGATGCTGCTAAGTGTCCTGCAGCACAAGGGACAGCCCGCAGGACAAAGCATGACCCCACTCCAAATGTCCAGCATCACGCTGAGAACCCTGGCAAACCTCCAGGGTTGATTTGCCTCAGACTATAAGAAGTCCCAGGGTAGGCAGTCCAGTGCTAGGGCATCGGCTCAGTGATGCTACCCAGGAGTCAGGCTTCTCTCTTCCTGCTCTGCCAGTCTTGGCAGTGGCTGTTGTACCTCCCCAAGAAGTGGGCAGGAAGAAGGTGGAGGGTGAAGGGACAGAGGGAAGGCCTCCCCAGGACCCTCTGTAGACATCTCATTCGCCAGACCCGACATATGACTACCTCTAGCTGCAAGGGAGGCTGGGTATGAAGTACTTGAGGTTTTTAGCCTCTCCAGTAGAGCAGAAAAGGGCGGCTGGGATGGTGCTGTGTATAGTGAAGAGACAAGTAGGGCCCCCACTCTGATATGGCTTACGGTCCAGAAGGCAGAGTGACAGGTGACAAGCCAGGTGACTTCAGATGTGTGCTATTAAGGGAATATGCATGGGTCCAGGGAGGGTCTTGCTAGATACAGGATATTTAGAGTCGTGGTACACGGCTTCTCTGAGGAGCGGACACTCACACTGAGGAGGAGCCGCCAGGGATGCTGAAGGCTGAGAGGTAGATGGTGGAGGGGAGTGGGGAGTGAGTATTCAAGGCAGAGGGAAGGTCATGTGCAACGTCTGCGGGGAGAGTGGTGTAAGGAGAGGCCATGGGTGGGTGGCCAGCTCACCGGGATCCCGTAGACCAGGATAAAAAGCACCAAGGGAAATCACTTTCATTGTTTTAAGTAAGAAGAGATGTGGTTTATTTTCTAAACCAACCTGGCTGCTATAAATGTGCTTTGACTTGAACTTTCTCAGTGGGGATCTCTGTGCCCTTACCTTGTGTCCATATCAGGCCTCTGGGAATCGTTAGGACTTCCTTTGGGTTCAGAGTGGAATGGTCTTTGCAGGCCTACACTTAGTCCCCCAGTTTGGAACCAAATCATCAAAATATGTTCATGCCTCCGCCTGTGTTGTTCCCATTGTGTTTCCCTGCAGATCAAGGATCTTGAGCAAGAAAAGGATCATCTCAACCAAGCTGTGCAGTCACTGCGGGAGAGGTCGCAGGTCAGCAGCGAGGCCCGCATGAAGGACATCGAGAAGGAGAACAGAGTCCTCCACCAGACGGTGACAGAGACCGGCAGCAGACTCAGCAAGCTGGAGCTGGAGAAGCAGCAGCTGCACCGGGACCTGGAGCAGGTGAGGGAGAGGATGGAGCGGGCAGAGGAGCTGGAGAAGGAGCTGCACCGGCTGGAGGAGGAGAAGGAGCAGCTGGCCAGGGAGGTGTCCTCCCTGACGTCGGCCACCGAGAAGGTCCATGCCCTGGAGCGGGAGAGCCAGGGCCTGACGCTGGAGAACCGGAGGCTGCAAAAGTCTCTAGACACCCTGCAGAATGTGTCGGTGCAGCTGGAGGGGCTGGAGCGGGACAACAAGCGGCTTGATGATGAGAACCTGGAGCTGCGCAGGATGGTGGAGACCATGCGCTTCACCAGTGCAAAGATGGCTCAGATCGAGAGAGAGAACCAGGAGCTTGAGCGGGAGAAGGAGGAGCTGAGGAAAAGCGTGGAGCTGCTGAACAAGAAGTCAGAGCACCTGGAGCTCAGCTACCAGAGCGTGAGCGCTGAGAACCTGCGGCTGCAGCAGACCCTGGAGAGCAGTGGCCAGAAGTCGCAGGCTCTGGGGCGAGAGCTCGGGGAGCTGGAGGCAAAAAACCAGGCCCTGCAGCGGGACCTGGAGGCCCAGCGGCTCGCCAACAAGCAGCTGGAGATGTCCGAGAAGGAAAAGAAGGCCCTGGAGCAGGAGGTTGCCCAGCTGGAGAAAGACAAGAAGCTGCTGGAAAAGGAGGTGAATCGGCTGTGGCAGCAGGTGGAGCTCAAGGACGCAGTCTTGGACGACGTCACCACCAAGCTGTCCACTGCCGAGAAGGAGAGCCGCGCTCTGGACAAGGAGCTGGCCCGCTGCAGGGACTCGGCCACCAAGCTGAAGGAGCTGGAGAAGGATAACAGAGACCTCACCAAGCAAGTCGCCATGCACACGAGGACACTGACAACCCTGGGAGAGGTGAGCTGGGTGCGAGCAGCCCCTCCGAGGGGAACCGGGGTTGGTGTCTTTGTCCCGAGCAGCACAGGCGTGCCGTGAGGGTCGTGCTCCCGGCATAGAAGTGGAACTATGTGTCCTCCTTAAATGTTTTCCCTGGTTCTAAACAGGATACTGCTGAAAGGTAAGAAGACCAAGTGAAAATCAGCTGTTCTCTACTGCCCACAGATAACCACTGCCAACAGCTGGCTTATTTCATCCCAGCATTCTCCTAGGCATGTCCATGTGAGCGTGCGCACACACACAATGCCCTACTCTCTGCATCCTAGCCCTATTTTTATTTATTATGTCTTTTCTCATTACATTAAATAGGCTTTAAGCCACAATTTGTAATGGCTGCCAGATATTAATCCTATAGATTTACTGTAATTATTTTTTGGCATTTAGGCTGTTTTCAGTTTTTTCTACCATTTTAAATAACACTGGACATTCTTGCACACATATACCTTCACAGATTTTTTTTTTCTTAGGATTATCCCTAGAAGTGTAATTACAGGATTAAAGGGGATGAACATTTTACAGTGTCTTGATAAATACGTGCTCTGCTTTTCCCTGGAACCTTGTGCGTGGGCATCCAGGCATTTCCGCAGCATGTTAGAATGAATAACTGCTCTAGTGAACGACTTCAGCTGAATGGCCCAACACAGACGTTGAGTCTCCAGCATGTAGTTCAGTGTGACTGTTCCCAGGTGGCCTTAACGGATTTGGTGGGGGTAGCATGCATGTAAATAACTGTGTCACCAGGCAGGAAATTGTAGCTACTGGAGAGCAACAAAGAGGTATGGAAGTAGGTGGACCAGCTAAGTCAACCACCTCAATGAGAGCAGCACCCACTTTTGAAAAGTAAATCAAAACCAGAATTTAAAATGAAGTTTCTCTTCTTTTTATACTTTTTGCTTCAAATTCTCTGCAATGAGCATTTAATTACATTACTCCTTAGAAAAGGAAGCCATTAGAATTTGAACCTACTACTCAGAGATCAACCTAACAGCATTTCAAACATGTTTAGATGTGTTTGGAGCTCACTGAATCCATCCTGACACTGCTGTGTGGCCTCGTCATCCACACAGGGCTGGAAGAGTGTGCTCACCCCTTCTCTCTGGGCGACATCCCTGAGGTTCACTCATCCCCATCAAACCGCCTGCCCGGCCCTCCCGACACCTGAGCTCAGCCTTGAGAAGAGCCTGCGTCTCCCCCCGCCCACCCCCCGGCTGTTTCTGCTGGGCTCCCGTCCCATGCTCGTCCTCTCCCTGTCCCTGCAGGAGCTGGTGCTGGAGAAGCTGAAGAGCCAGCAGCTGACCAGTGAGCTGGACAAACTGAGCCAGGAGCTGGAGAAGGTTGGCCTCCACAAGGAGCTGCTGCTGCAGGGTGATAACAGCAACAGTGACACGTGAGGACTGCTCCCTGTGCGGCCTGCAGGCCTGACAGCTCACAGCCACATCCCACGGGCCCCCGCCCTCGGCTCCAGAGCTCTGCTTAGTCCTTGCAACTGAGGGCCTATTGTCCTTCTCATCCAGTCCTCTTCCTGGAGGTTCCCAGGGAGGAGAGGATGGAGATTCTTTTGTCCAATGAAAAGGCTACTTTCATGTGTTTTTTAATAGATTTTATTTTTTAGAGTAGTTTTAGGTTCACAGCAAAATTGAGGGGAAGGTTACAGAGATTCCCCATATACTCCCTGCTCCCTGCCATAGGCACAGGCTCCCTGATTGTCTGCATCCCACCGTGGTGGTACATTTGTTACACTGACACAACAGCGTCACTAGTTTAACTAGTGTAAACAGAGTCCATAGTTTACATTAGGGATCACTCTTGGTGTGCCTTCTGTGGGTTTGGACAAATGTAAAAGGACGTGTCCATTGTTACAGTATTATCCAGAGTAGTTTCACTGCCCTAACAGTCCTGTGTTCCACCTATTTATCCCCCCAGCCCTTTAATTATTTTAAAATTTTATTTTAGCCTTTGCCTATAGTGCTTTCTTAAATGACCTCATTTTTCAGGGAAATACAGTGCCTTGGATTTTTATTGGACTCGTAATTGACAAGATTCACACGTTAGATAATGTGACATCCTTTTGGCGTGGTCACCTAGCACGGTGATCCTTGGACAGATTGCTTCACCTGCCTGAGAGCCAGTTTCCCCTTCTGTGAAAAGGCCCTGATAACTCTTCCCTAAGACAGCGGCTGTGAAGCTACCTGTGTTTGAAGGTGCCCCAGGTGGGCTCTGGACAGTGTTTTTGGCTCCTACAGACATTCTGCGCTGAATGCCGCCCATGCCGAAGAAGGCCAGCTGGGTGGAGGCAGGGATGTGTGGCAGCTGGGAGACCGGGAGCTGGTGGGTGGAAAAGGCAGACAAATGATACCGTTACATCTTTGTATTTTTCAGAAAATACAAGATTTTGGAGGGAAGGAATGAGTTGACGTTAAAAACAACACTGGCCATGAAAGAAGAAAAGATTGTGTTCTTGGAAGCACAGGTGGAAGAGAAAGCCAGCCTGAACCACCAGCTGCAGAAGGAGGTCCAGGTGGTAAGAGCTGATGTCGGGGACGAGCTCTGGGTCCCAGCTGGAAGGCCCCTGCCTCACCCTTTCTAGTGCTTCACCTGGGTAGCAGAGGGGCCGCCTGGGTGCATGTCTCCTGGAGCACATGGGGGTGAGCCGCGGGGGTCTGAGGGAGCTATTTCAGAATCATGCAGGTGGGGGATGGACAGAAGCAGAGACTGAATCAGAGGCTGGGGGAGGGGAGGCAAGATCTGGGGACACTGATGAGAATATATTGAAACTGGGCGTGGGGCACCAGACAGAGTCTCATGGGCACCCTCAGGTGGGACAGACATAGGTGCACAGAGGCTTGTAAGAATGTGCAAGTTTACTCCTGGCACACACATGCTCTCCGCGTGCTTGCACACACGTGCTCTCCATACCTGTGCCCACACACTTCCATCTCTGTGAATCCTTGGCATGTTTCTTGGTTGCATGATTGGATAAAGAATCTAGAGCGAAGCGATTCTAGAGCCAGTAGGGTCTTTATAACAACACGTGGTCACTATTCCCTGGGCTCACCTCCTTTTTATTGAGTGGACAACCGAGGCTCAGGGAAGTGAAGAGACTTGCCACTGTCGTGTGGCCAAAGTCAGGACTGAGGCAGGATGGGGTCCCAGGCCACTGCCCTTTCTGTCATCTTCGGAAGGAAGGACAAACATAGGACAGAGGTTACATGCACCTCCACCAAAAGCAAAAGCGGGGTGTCTGCTTTGTCGTGGCCAGTGCTGGGTGAGGGGTGGGGTTGGGTGTGGGGCCTCCTCAGGCTCTGAGCCGGGCCTCTTCCTGCTCCACATCTGCTTCCATGCCCATGCCCACAGCTGAAGATGGAGTATGAGCTCCTCAGGCAGAACCGAGAGGAGGGGAAGCACCTGCAGAACTCTTTGAAACACCCTGCGGGGACATTGGTCGCTGGTCACCAGGAGAAGGAGAGCTGGGGGCCGAGCCACAAGGAAGCCACCCTGGAGCTGCTCCGAGTGAAGGATAGGGCCATCGAGCTGGAACGGAACGTGAGTTGACTGCCCCGGCCCCAGTCACTCAGAGACCATCCTACTCAAGGTCCCAGTGATACACCATCACTGGGAAGGACACCAGGTGTAGAATCTGCTGAGACCTATCCCAGTCTAGTTGGACACTTCTTGATCTGTCCTGGCAAGTCCTAGGAGCATATGAGTTTCCTTCAGCATTTCTAACATAAAGGGGCGTACTCACATTTTCCCACGGTGACCTGCCATCTGCCTTCCCATCAGACAGGGCCTGTAGCTTATCCACTGGGACTGTTTCTGTACCGTTGTGTGTCTGTGCTCTGTGCCAAGGGTTGGCAAGCCAAGACCTGGCACCTGCTTCTGTGAATAAGGTTTTTTGGTACACAGACAAACCCTTGGTTTACCTATTGTGTAGGGCAGGGCTGAGTGGTTGGGGTAGAGACCACATGGTTGGGACACCCCAAATATTTACTATCTGGCCCTTTACAGAAAAAGTTTGCCAATGTATGTCTGAACCCCTGATTTTATTTCACTTTCCCGGTCATTGTAGGAAGTAGATAGTGATGGTTTTCACCATTTGACAGATGAGAAAGCTGAGAGAGTTTGAGACTTGACCAAAGTCCCATGCTAGTGAGGTAACCCGTGTCACCTTGCAACCCACGTGTCCTGGCTCCTGGCCCAGTTGGCGGCATATTGTATGAGGTCTTTATCAGCCTCGTGGAACACGAACCACCTTATTAAGGTCCAGGCTTGGACTCCCATCCTGTGAGAGAAGCTCAAGGAAATGCACTCCCAGGTGTCACCAGAAAACAAAGCGAAGCACTCAAGAGAGAAAGGGCGAGGCCACTCCACCCCATTTGCCTTTACCTCACCCTCACACGCCTGGTGCTGTGCAGGATCCCCTTTGTGTATTCTTTTCTGTCTTGAAAGCACATACTCCAAGAAATAGGTTTTGTTTTTTGTTTCTTCCAATTCTGTTGGTTGTTTTTTCCAAGAGAGAAAATATTACTGCTCTCACCTGGTGGACTCTGGCTTTGGCCCCCAAAGCATCCACTTCTGAGGGTTCCTTAGAACTTAAGTACCACTTACCGGCGAGGGGTGTCTGACGGCCTCGTGCTTTCCCTAGAACGCAGCGCTGCAGGCCGAGAAGCAGCTGCTCCAAGATCAGCTGCAGCACTTGGAGACCCAGAATGTGGCCTTCAGCAGTCAGATCCTGACACTGCAGAAGCAGAGCGCTTTCCTGCAGGAGCACAACACCACGCTGCAGACCCAGACGGCCAAACTGCAGGTGGGGTGGGGTGTGGATCTACCTGGGCCAGAGACCAGCCCTGAGCACACTGACGCCTCACAGCAAGCAGGACAAAGCACGGGAGAGTTTGGGGTTCTGTTTTGTTCTGTGTTTAATAGGCTCGTTGTAAACAGTGGCGCCTAGCCTCGGGGTCTTGGAAGGTGATGGTGGGTAAGCCGTGTTCAGCCAGTGAGCATATGGCTGCAGTCTTGTCTGTTTCCCAAAGCCTCTTTCTTGAGGTGTTACTATGAATGATTTGGAAAAGAGATTCTGGGATCAACTGAGTTTGGTTCAACAGAGTTGACCAGGCTTCTTTACTGTGGAACCTGGCAGAGCCTTTTTTAAGCTACTGTGGATTTTTAATCTCCACAAGGGAAATAGGGCATGAAGCGGCTCCCAGGCTGTCGAGAGCATCTAGCAAAACTAGCGTTCTGGGCCACACAGGTTAGGATGTTGGTTTATAATTATGGTTAATAGCTGGTGGGGAAATGAGTGATCATTTATTAATGCAGTTTCTGAGAAAAGTGTTTGAAAATATGTAACTTAGGAGTCAGGGACAATAAACAGGAAACCATTTGGCAAAGAGGTTAGGATTTGTTCTAGTAAAATAAAATAGGGTATTGATTTGTAGTTTTGTTTTTGTTGTTACATCTTTGTCTGGTTTTGATATCAGGGTAATTCTGGCCTCAGAATGAGTTTGGATGGATTCCTTCCTCTTCAGTTTTCTGATAGTTTCAGATGTTGTTGGATGGGTATTCTATAAATATCAGGTTAAATTGGATGGTGGTTTTGTACTTTTTTTGTTGTTGTTGCTAGTTTTTAAAGTCAAAAAGAGTACCCAAGGAGCTTATCCAGAGAAAGGACATGATTTTCCCAAACACGTCCCATGTGTGGAGAGGACACAAGACTAAGTTTAGCACCATGTGATAGTCCGTTTATGCAGGGGCCTCTTCCCACAGCAGTTCCCTAAGTGCTGGTAGAACTGTCCTCAGCACGGCTGGACTTTGCCTGCCTGAGGGTCCCTGTTATTTTGGTGTCTGCACTTGGCCTGCTCTTGGCGCTTCACTGCCTGTGGGGTGCAAGGATGTGGAGTCTGTGGCTCCCCGGGGCCTGCACCCAGTGAGGCATCATCACCTTCTCCCTCCTGGCAGGTGGAAAATTCCACTCTGAGCTCCCAGAGCGCCTCCCTCATGGCGCAGTACACGCTGCTCCAGAACCAGCAGGCGGCCAAGGAGAGCGAGCTTGAGAACCTGCAGAAGCAGCAGGAGCAGCTGACAGCAGCCTACGAGGCCCTGCTGCAGGACCATGAGCGCCTGGGCGCGCTCCACGAGCACCAGTCTGTGGAGTACGAGGCCCTCATCGGCCAGCACAGCTGCCTGAAGACGCTGCATCGGAACCTGGAGCTGGAGCACAGGGCGCTGGGGGAGAGGTGTGTGCCCGTGGCTGGTGGGGAGACTGGCGGGATCCCTGGCTCCTGTCCCCCCTTTGCTCTGGCCCCTCATGTTCCTTCTGTACCCGCTGCGTCGCAGTGGAGAGAAATCTATAGCACATCACCCTCAGTGAAGTGGGGTTTGTGCAGCTGGAGACTGAGGGGCAGGAGGGTCCCCCAGGGGAGAAGGGCGTGCACACGAATCCCGGCTCAGGGAAACCGCGTGTCGGCATTGGGGGTCCCTACTCCCCTGAGGATTCCTGCCCCTCTTCCTTTCTCTCCAGACCAAGATCAAGGAGGGGGGCGTTCACCACAGCTGCCCATTTAGTGACGCTCTTACATGGCTTCCCAGGCCTTTTCTTCCCTGTCAGAGTCTCAAAGTCTGGGCTTTTTGGAAACTTCTGAATATATAGAAATACAGAATAGTGTAGGGAAAGCCCCGTGTACTCATGACCGGCGTCAGTACTTATCCGTACTCTGCCACTCTCATTTCATCTTGACCTCTTCCTCTCCAGCTCCAGACTCTGCCTTTTCTTTAAGGTAAATTTGATGTACATTGAAATGCATAAATCTTAACTTTGTGCTCTTGACAAATCCGGGCTTTGCGTGCGTGTGGTCAGGCCACATCGACCGAGCTCCTGCCCTCACAGATCCCCGATTGCTCCAGGCCCCCGGGGAAGGTGCAGCAGGACCTAGAGTCTGGGGGGGGTGTGATGTGCACAGGACTCAACCAACCAGCCACAGGAGAGAGAGGGAGGGATATGCCTAAAGAGAGGCTCTGACACCTGGCGCCGGAGGGAGCTGTCTCCCAGTTCCTGTGCTTGTGTGCTGTCCCTGCTGACAGTGTTTCCCTCGACTCTGCCTCAACAAGACACTAAGCAAATGCTGGGTCTTTAGTGGGAGCAACTGAGGTGCAGGGAGTTTCTATCACAGGGATCCAGGGAGGTCATTGGGCCAGCAAGCCTGGTGAAGGCATCTGCTGATGCCGTGAGCATGGGGGTGATGGCATTCATCTATTCACTTACCCAGTGCTTCCTATTGACTCTCTCCGGAGCCTTCCACCCTCTTTATCTGCCTAGATCTCCATCCTTTGGGGTGCTGGCATGTCTGCTCCTATTAGAGACTCTGCTCCTTCCAGCCAAAATGAGCATCGTCTGCCTCTTGGCATTTCCGTCTCTCCCTCCTTGCACACCCCTCCTGTGAGCATCAGCTGGATGTGAGGTGCTGTGTCCAGAGTGGCAGGAATGTACCTAGCCGACTAATGATGTGAAACTTGTGTGGGGCCCACTCCTCACCAGGCACTTACTGGCCCCATCCTTAATGTTCTATTATATATTATAACAGCATCATGGTATATGTATTTTTTTAATTTTCACCCAAGGATATTTTTTCCATTGCTTTTCAGAGAGTGGAAGGGAGAAGGGGAGAGAGAGGGAGAGAGAGAAACACCGATGTGAGAGAGACACATCGATTGGTTGCCTCCCACATGGGCCCCAACTGAGGCCGGAGATTGAGCCTGCAACCGAGACACGTCCGTGGGATGACGCTATAATCACTGAGCAAAGTTGCCTAAGGCAGTGTCATGATATCCTTAACATCTGTTCAGATGGGGAGGGTCTGTGCAGGTGGTTGACTGTCTCTGAAGGAGGAGTCCAATGTTGTTTAGCCTGTAGCTCCTTGCTTGATAGAACATGGAGACCTACTGTTTTACTCAGTAGTTTTTGCTGGTTAGACATAGCTGGAGGCCCCTTGGTCTGCAGCAGTGCTATCGGTTTGGGGGTATAAGCGCCTGGAACACAGGGATGATGGCTCTATATTCATTTCATTTGACACTCGACTCAGACACTCCTCCATTCATTCCCTTAACACACATTTACTGAGTGTCAAGCCTCGTACCGGGGATTCAGTGGGGAGCAAGACTTGCTCAGTGCCTTCCCTGCAGTAGGGGGGTTACTAATGGTTGGAATATGCTTGATCAGTGTGCTTTTCCAAGACACAACAGGGAAGCAGGAGTCAGGGACCCTAATGGTCTGGGCTGTATTTATCAAAGCCTGGATGAGTTTTTCCAGAATCCCCTTTTCACATTGAGGCAGCCTCTGCCTATGGCTAAAGGCCACACACACATTTGCATTAAAATAGCCGCCTGAGTAGGTTTCCAAGTTTGAGTCCCTGCAAGTCTTGGCTCCTGGCAGATGGTACAGGTACAGCTGATACTGGGTGGGTGGAGCGGGAGTGGAAGGCTGGAGACCCTGGAAGACCGCTTGGTTTCTGTAAGCCTGTCTGAGTATGGAAAGCTCCGGAAGGGGGTCTCAAAAGGGATTTGCCTGCACGGGGAAGATTGAAAGGTGATGACTCAGTCACCTTCCTGGACACGGAAGTTTCCAATAGGCAGGAGGATTGGCCTGGGGGTGGTCTGGGACTCCCCCTTGTGTTCTGCTGCCCTCCAGAGACAGCTGTGCTGTGCAGTGACTTATAAAGATTGAGACAGGAAGAAATCAAAAGCCCCAAGCTGAGGGGGAAGTTGTGGGGGAGGGTAAGGGCTGGATTGGGGGTGCCTTGAGGAGCAGGGTGTGTGTGTGTATGTATGTGTACATGTGTGCAGCTGGTCCCTGGCAGCTGCTTGGACCCCACCAGGCAAGCGTCTGTCCCCACCCACACTGACTAACTCAGAACAGGGAGATTGGTGTTCCAGAGCTGGGGTGGAGGGCTTACCCGGTCCCCAGTGAGGGGGATTAGCTGTTATATGTGGTGGAATTCAGCTCTATATGTTGTGATTTCTTTGAGAAGGGTGTGGAGTTCAGTATATAGTCATGGTGTTCCCAGCGGGCTAATGGAGGGAGGCTGCTTTGACAGGGACTGGAAGGGACCATGGAGACACATTGGGTGGGAGAAGGAAGACTCTGCTCCAAGGCTGGAGGAGACCCCCCCAGAGCTGGCCCAGTGTGTGTCCCAGCTGCCATTCTCCCATTTCTCTGCTGTCCAGCCCTGCTCACTGCCCTTCCCTATCTCCCTCAGCTTCCCTCAGCTCTACAGAGAGAAGCTTCTCCTAGGAGGCTCTGCATTCTTCTGGGGTGTCTGTTTCTAGTGGGTGTGTTTCCTTCCAACAGGCATGAGGACATGCTGAAACATAAGGCAGGGCTGGAGGAGCTGGAGAAGGTCTTAAACACCGAACGGGAGGCTCTGCAGCAGGAGCAGAGGACAAACGCCATTGCCGCCACCGAGAACCAGAGGCTTCGGGGAGAGCTGGACAGGTAACCAACTGCGACACCCCCCATGCAGAAGCATGTGCCGGGATCTCATTCAGACCAACTCACTCAGCACCCGCTGAACTAAGCTCAAGCGAGTCCCCTGGTAATGGTATATTTTTTAAAACCCTGTCATGTTCACAGCTGATGGCAGTAAGGTAAAAGGGGACTCCAGCTGGTGGCTGGGATGGAAGGACCAGTGGCACCTGGGGTGGTGCATTGTCCAGGTTTGGACAGCCTCACCTCCCGCACGTGATGGTGATGATTGTATCGGGCCCGGGCACCTTCTTCCTCTAACACCAGCGATTCTGGGAAGGAGGTACAGTGAAGATCCCATGAAAGAGGTGAATTCACGCATTCCCTATTTGTGAATTCACCTACTCACTGAAATGTAACCCCCAGATCGGTACCTGCTGTCTTTCAAGGACATGCCCAGAGTTTGGGATACTGGCGTCGCCTGATGTGTGTGCACATTTGCAGCTGAGGTTGAGAAGGCCTTTGACTCCTGCCTTGTTCCAGCTCTCACACTGCAAACAAGCGTCCTTTTCATGGTCGGTTTTGTGCCATGGTTTTCTATTTTTGTGCTTTTGGTGATGATTTCACTGTTTGAAATGGCCCCCAAATGGAGTGTTGACATGCTGTCTAGTGTTCCCAAGTGCAAGGCTGCGCTGGGCCTCGTGGGGAGTGTATGAGTGGTAGATAAGGTTCCTTCAGGCACAGGTTATGGTGCTGTTGGCTGTATGTTACATAGGAATCTTTATGTCTTGATAAGTTGGCAGAAATGTGGCCAGAGGCTCCCAGGAACCGTTGGGAACAGTTGTAGTGGACACTGATTCAGTGTTCAAGGTGACTTGATAGAACATTATACCGCGGATCACGAGAATTGACTGAGCTATTATCCCTCCCCCCCCCCTTTTTTTAACAGATGAGGAAATGGGCTCAGAGAGATTAAATAGCTTGTTCAGGGTCAATGCTCCCAGTTAGTGGCACAGTCAGGGTTTGAATCCAGGTCTTGTCTCACCCCAGAGGCGTGACCACATGAAGCCTTCCTTCCCACAGCCTTGTTTTAACATGTATAGGGGGCTACAAACTCAGGTACCTCCAGTGGCCTGGCAGGTCCGGCACATGGGTAGGAGGGTCAGCAATAGACCAGACGCTCGTGGAGAGTTCACATCATCTAACGGCTGTCAGCTGGGAGGTGGGCCCAGGGCTGCCCAGTCATGCTTTTGTTTATTTATTTATTTTTTTCTGAGAAGCTAGATATCTGAATTTTGATGTGAAACTTAAAAATTTTTTTAATGTTGATAAACTTATTTTTTCAAAAAATACTGTGTGGGCCAAACTGGACACATCTGTGTTCAAATTGAGTTTATGAGCCTCTGGTAATTTGAGCTTTCTGGTATAAATCTTCCCCCAGGAAACCCAGTTGGGTAATTATGATGATGATAATGATAATTTCAGTGAATTTACATAATACCCCAGAATCTCATATCTTATTTATCTCAGGAGTTCAAATTAGAAAGGGGCTTGGAATTGGGGAGAAGAGCTGGGCATAGACATAGAGTTTTAGGGCAAAAACGTTCCAATTCAGTGTTTTTTAAAAGTGTTTTAATAGAACCCTTTTTTCCAAGTAGGCAGGGGTGCCAAAGCCTTCACATAAAGGATTTTAACAGTGATGCTCAGTTGAAGCAGTGTCCAGGCCTGCCTGTCCTGTCTCCCCCAGACCAAAGTGGGGAACAGGGGGAGCCTCATAGAACCCCAGCAGACACAGTTTGAAAACTGCTGATTTTGTTCAACCCTTCGTTTACACATGAGAAAAACTGAGGCCCAGAGAGGCTGTGGTTTTGACTAAGGTTGTACATCTGGGACAGAGCCTGGGAGCGCTCCTCAGCCCATGGCCCTGTGCTTTCCACCCCCAGGGTCAATTTCCTGCACCAGCAGCTGCAGGGGGAGTATGAGGAGCTTCACGCCCACACCAAGGAGCTGAAAACCTCGCTCAACAACTCGCAGCTGGAGGTGAACCGCTGGCAGGCCCGGTGTGATGAGCTGAAGGAGGAGCACCAGAGCATGGACATCTCGCTGACCAAGCTGGACCACCACTGCGAGGTGAGCCGGGGGCTGGGAGGCCTCGGGACTCCAGGCCATGCTCCCTGGACTGGACTGACGGCCGCGGGCTCAGCCAGGTTGAATGGTCCTTATTGGCGTCTGTGCCCGGAGACTGTATGTGAAGGTCATGCACAGACTGAGCGGAAGCCAGAGGCACTTGAAGGGACGAACACCCTGACTGGCAGGGACGTGTTAGGAAGCACCTTTCATCTGACCTTGGCTCTCGCAGGGTCGGGCAGTGAATGGAAACAGCCGAGTACCGTTCACGTCTGTCCCCCTGCTGCGCACTTTGCTGCGCTCACCTGGTCCTCTCAGTTCTCAGATGACCTTGTGAGTGGTGCCCCCGTCCTTGTCCCTCTTAAGTGGCGGAATGGAGCCCAGTTAGTCTGAAGCCAGAGTTTACAACTTTCATGCTGCATCAACCGCGATGATGTTCTAGAGCAGGAGGTGGCCAGCCTCAGCCCGAAATTCAGATCCAGCCCCCCGGCTGTTTTTATACGTCTGTGAACCAAGAATAGCTTTTCCAGTTTTTGATGGTTGGGGAAATTAAAAAAATAATATTTGGTGGCAAGTGAAAATGACATGAACTTTAAATGTCTGTCCACGAGTCAAGTTTTTGGGGTTTTGTTTCTAACACAGCCACACCCATGCGTGTACGTTTTATCTCTGGCTACTTTCCTGCCATAACAACAGAGTCAAGTAGTTGCAACAGAGACCACCGTCCTGCCTGAAAAGCCTGAAATATTTACTATCTCGCTCTTTACAGAAAAAGTGTGCCAACCCTCGTCTACAGCAGAGGCGTCCAATAGGAATATAATGCAGCATAACATTTTAGAATGTAATACAAAATTTTCCGGTAGCCACATTAAAAAAGTAAAAGGAAACAGGTGGGATTAATTTTAATGATGATAGCCATTATGTCTAAAGTATCACATGTAACCCCAAAAAGTTTATAAATGAGATTTTTTAAGAATAGGTTTTTATTGATTTTTTTTTGAGAGAGGAAGGGAAAGAAACATTGATGAGAGAGAGAGACATTGATCGGCTGCTTCCTTCACGGCCCCTACTGGGAATTGAGCCTGCAACCCAGGCATGTGCTCTGACCGGGAATAGAACCAGCGACCTTTTGGTGCATGGGATGACAACCAACTGAGCAACACTGGCTGGGCAACTTATTAATGAGATATTTTACATTATTATTAAAAATTGTTATTAAGTCCTCTGAATCTGTTGTATATTTTGCACTTACGGCACATCTCAGCTCAGACTGGCTGTGTTTTCAGTGCTCGGCGGCCACATGTGGCCAGTGGCTGCCCTGATTGATTGGTGCAGTGGCAGAAGGCTTGGCCATCCCCATGTCATTGGCCGTATTGGTCATTCCAGCTGGTGTAGATAATACTGAAATGGTCATCTTTGTGCACGTGGCCTTTTTCTTCCTTTGGAAGTAGATTCCCAGCATGAATCACAGGGTGCATGGTGTTTGAGACATTGCCAATCTGTGTTTTAGCTGCTCTCCCGTCTCAAGGGGAACTTGGAGGAAGAAAATCATCACCTCGTGAGCCAGATCCAGATGTTGAACGAGCAGAACCAAAGGCTTCTAGAGCAGAACATGGAGAGCAAGGATCAGTACCATGAGGAGCAGAAGCAGTACATGTAAGGGGTGTGGGGTGACTGACGCCTGTCCACAGAGGGGTCCTGGCTTCCAGCTCCAGCCTAGCCCTCGACATTCTGGGCAGAGAATCCCCTGGGCGCATTCATGTCCCGAGGGCAAGGGGACAGACCATCTTACCAGTGCCTCCTCTCGTTTCCCTGGGATGGTTCTAGGTTTCTGCAAGTAGGGAGGTTGGCTTTTGTTTGCTGTTCAAAGACACTGCCCTGTGCCAGACTCTTTTTAATCTGCTTTTGGAATTAATTTCACTTTAAAAAATACAACAGTGGTAAAGAGAGAGACCCAGGGAAGGCATTCAGGCCGAAGGCTGAGCCCTTTCTGTGTCTGATTTTCCTTTAGTGGGCTGGAGAGTGGGTTGTTGGTGCACCGTGGTTGTCCTCCCTCTGCCAGTATTTACACAGTCCTGGCTGTGGCGTAGGCCTTGCAAGGTGCAGAGGACCAGTTACCTGGTCACCAAGAACTAGTAGGGGAGCTGGGAAGTGAGCAGAGCTACATGCACACCAGACAGATGTTGAGGGGCTCCATGGAGGTGTAGAAGGAAGCATGGTGGTAGGAGTTAGGGTTCTGCTGCTGACACGGATGGGGAGAAGTTCTAGCCAGTGTGAGGAACCTCAAGGTGGAGCATGACATGGTCTGGGTGCAGGGAAGGTGCAGGCAGTGCCAGGAGGGAAGGCTGGAGGAAGTGGCGCTCAGCCGTGGAAAGTTTCCAGGCCTGGCTAATGAGTCGGATTCGCTGGGAAGTGAGTGTTTAAGGGATGCTGGTCTACAAGGCCTAGGAATCTGCCAGAAATGAGGTCAGAAGGAAGAGCCTTGGTACTGGAAACCTTGTGTTTGGAAGTCAAGTAATCCAAGTTCATCTTGTGGGTCCAGGGTGGTCTTCACCCCTCTGTGCTATGCTGATGGGACTGTCCTTCCTTGTGATCGGGATTGGCTGGCCAGTGTGGGACAGAGAGACATGATCACATTGAGCACTGGGGCACTGTCCCAGCACCTGGGGTGGGGTAATGATGCTGCTTCACTGCTCTCCTGGATTCATCCACTCATGGACCAGCGCCGCCCCCCCATGAAGGATGGTTTACATGGAGAAACCACACTGTAGTTTGGGGTAGAAATGACTTTGGCCTGAAGTTGGCTCTCTATAATCCAGCTGATAAAAGTTACCAGCAGAGGTTGGGCAGGTACAAACTAGAAGAGGAGGAGCCTGGTACCCAGGGGTATGATCTGATGGCAGTTTTGCATTAGAGAGTATCTGCAGGAGACCAGGGAGTTGGTAGGATTCTTGAGCCTGCTCTGAGCGGAGTCTTCCCCAGCCCTGGGAGGGTTGGGGTGCCTGCCCTCTGTGAGTTTGTGCGGCTGGAGGGGGTGGGTCAAACCCAGACATGAAAGTGCTCTAGCATAAGGCCAAGCAGCCCAGCTGTGGGAACAGAATAACAGACTAGAATAATAGATGCCGAGCCAAGGGCGCTGGGAGCAGAGCAGGGTTGGTGGTCAGGGGCCCAGTGGTTTACAAGCTATCACTTTTCATGGGTGCTCACTTCACGGTGAACTCTCAGGAAAGCCCTCAGTTTAGGTGGGACCTCAGCAGCTTCATGACCAAAGGAGCCTGAGCAGCTGCCTCGATCCAGGGTTCTGAGCTGTCAAGGTCACACTGGCACTAAGAGGTAGGAACAGGCCAGGAGCTGGCAGCCCCATGGGCAGCGTTATATGGAGAGCACCGTGTGCTCCACTCTGGGACAGGAAAAAGGAAAATCAGGCTACCTGTCTAAGGCCAGACGACCTCTCCCAGTGAGCAGGCTACCGTCCGGCAGCCCAAGGTTCAGGAGGTCTCTTTGGTCCTTTCTGTGTTTTTGAAAATGTGAACTGATTTCCAGTATTTAGTAATTAAGAGATTTTGCTTTACAACCTGGGTTTCTGGATCCTTTGGGGAAAACAAGCAGAAGTTCTGCCACATTAAGAGCAGCGCTCCTTTTGCAGGGCCTGCATGCAGCCCCACATGGCACCGTGTGCTCGGCCGCACTGCAGGCCCCTCCACTCCCTCTGGTCCTGCCAGGCCCGCTTTGCTCCTTCTCTGTCTGGCCCCCGGAAGGCTTGGAGTTTGTTTCTGCGGAAGTGGTATCAGAACCGCAGCATTGGAATGGGTCGAGGTCAGAGGTCTGACTTGGATGCCCATCTGACTCACTGAGGGCATACCTCTCCAGACCACCGAAGGTCTTGTTAGTTTGTACCTGCAGGCGCCAGCCTAGCCTTGTGTCCGACCCCGAGTGCCCGACAACCTGAACTGACCTGGCCGGAAAGCCCTTGCGGTTTCCAGGCTTGAGTTTTAGGTGGTTTTGGGGTTTGCTCTCCTGAGATGTCCTACAGCCTGGTCCTAGGTGCTTCAGCAGGGCCTCGAGGTGTCCGGGTTCCTGGAACCACGTCCAATGCTTCCATTCACATGTTCCCACCTCAGTGACCGCAATGGTCATGAGCACTGTGATGTCTGAATGCCAGAATAATACTGGTCCCTTCTGGGCCAGGTCTCAGGCTGGGCTGATGAATAAATTTACATGTTTTATTTTAAAAACCAGATTGTTTTTTCTTTCTCCTCTGTTTACAGAGACAAATTAAATGCCTTACAGAGACAAAAGGAAAAACTAGAAGAAAAAATCATGGATCAGTACAAGTTCTATGATCCTGCTCCAAAGAAGTGAGTTGATTGAAGCTTCAGTGACTTAAACAGAATGCTTGTTTTTTCACAAAGAGGGAAAGCTGTAGCCACCCGGAGCAGTGCCCAGTGGGTGGGCCTGTCTTTACTGTATAGCAGGTCATCTGTGCACAGGTCCCTCCCAACACGGACAGAATTTAGAGTTTCATTCAGTCTCGCTCTCCATTCTCAGGGTTATCTTATGAGGGATGGCAAATGCCAGCTGGCCGTGAGCCTGTGTAAGGGGGCAGAGGATCTGTGGTTTTAGAGCCATTAAAGCAGGAGTATCAGGTTTTGTCTTAAGATTTCAGGACATAGAAAACCATGTTTGTTTTTGGAAGGAAGCTTGGGTCAGACACCTAGACCAGCACCCATGGTCTTCAAGCATAGGAACCTCCTGGTCTTACCTAAATTCCTCTGGATTCACTGTACTCTAGGGCAGTTCCACCAACATGTTCTCTTCTCCAGAGAGCAGCAGCCCCGGTTGTGGGCTGGCTCAGTCCCGAGACTGCCAGCATCCATCCAGCAGGGCTTCCCCTGGGCCTGGGCCTGAGCCCCAGGAGCTGGTCCTTCAGATTGTCTTGTCCCAGCCTTGCCTTGAAGTCAGATCCCCATGAGTCCTGCAAGGCATCTGTTGAAATCACAGAACCACAGAATTTCAGACTCTCCAGCTGACCCTTCTGTTGACAGAAATTGAGGCACTGGTGAAGAAATTGAGTGATTTGTGTAAACACAGTGCTGTTTCATGGCAGAGCCAGGATTAGAACCCAGATGGGGTTCTTCTGTTATGTTAGAATGCCTCTATTTCCGGTTAGCTGCAATGTATTATGTACCCTTTAATTTCACTGTTTTTAATTCAAACGCCCCACTCTGCCCTGCCTCTTCCCACTCGCCCAGATCCCTCAGTGCCTGGAATGGCCCAAGTACCCCAGCCTATTTCAGTTATTATTGACTCCAGCAGAAAAGGAGGAGGTCCCTGGTTCTCCTTGAAAGTGGCATTTTGATGGGAACTTGGAGCAAACATAGATTAGATAAGCGCAGCACCACTTCCTGTACTTCGCACCAATAATTAAGAGTTGACAACTGTATTTGAAGTTCTATTTCCAAGAGGCTAGTGTGGGTTTCTGCCACGTTGAATGCTTCTACCATCTTCGGGCCTGTGCGAATTCACTGCAAATTAATTCCACCTCCTGAGCCCCAGATACGATGATCGTGGTGATGGCAAAGAGAAGCCTCATTCTAAACCCCAAATTAACGGCCGACGTCCCAGACTGGTGATGGAAATCCCAGCTCACGGGAGGGCACCCAGCAACCTGCTGGAGGGGCAGTGAGGGTTGGCTGTGTCCTAAAAAATCTTACTTCTAACTAGGAAAAACCACTGGATTGGAGCCAAAGCCTTAGTCAAATTCATGAAACCAAAGAAAGAAGGTTCCAGAGAACGACCAAAGTCAACTGCAGACAGCCCACCGTGGCCTCTGGAGTCCTCGGACCCGGCCTCGCCCAGTGCTTCTCAGCCTCTTAAATCGAAGCTGGAGCCCCTCGAGGTTCCCCCATCCTGCTCAAACTGGGTAGAAGAGCAAGACACCCACAGCGGGCCCACGGGAAAAGGTAGGAGGGGCTGACCTGGCGGCAGGCAGAAGTGAAGGGGGGAGGCTCTTGGATCTCCCTCATGTGCAGGGTAGAACCAATACGATGTTGTGTTGGGTGTGCACACGTATGTATAGGAGCCTCAAGGGGGTATGCTCCATACACGCACATCTGCCTCCTTAGGTATGTTAACAAAGTAGAAAATAAAAAACCTGCGGCAGTGTTGTGGCAGTTTCGTCCCATAACAATTTAGTTACTTTTCCTTGAGCAGCCTCACGCATCATGTACACTGTGGTAGGGACTCGAATATCCAGAGCCGATGTCCACACAGTTATTGCAGAGACAAGCTTCATAGTGCATGTTTTTGGGTTTCCTTGTATCTGTCAGGCATAGTATAAGCCATTTCTATAGGGAGATCCCAGTGCATTTAACACATAATGGACATATTCAAGGTCTTCAGCAAGGCCTTGCATGGCTCTGATCTTTTTGTCATTGTGAAAAGAAGGTTCGGTTTTCTTCTCCCACCTGATCTGGCCTTGGGTCCTGCCACCAAGGGGTGCAGGGCACCTCATTGAGGGCTATCATTCGGAGCTTGCTAGAGATCCTGAAATGGGTTTCTTGTTGCATGTGCTGCATGTATTTCACTGAACTAAGAGGCTGTCAGTTATAAGCTGCACAATTGTGCTCACATAAAAAGAAAATAAATTGGTTGTGGTAGTGACAGTTTTGTCAGAATTACCACCTCACCGACGGTGACTGTGGTACACACTCACAGCTGCATCCTGATTTCAGAGATGTTAAAGTTTGGCGGGGGAAAGTGTGCATCTTACAGTGAATTAAACAAAGCTATTGCCTTAAACATGGTTTAATTTTCAAATTTACTTTTAAATATTTCAGATTATTAGATTATTATTAAATTTATAGGTTACTGATCTATAGACCTGCCAAACGTATACCCTGAGAAATTTAAATTTTATGAAGGACACTAGGACTTTCTGAAGACCAGGCCCATGCCTGAGACTTATGCTCTCTCAGGCTGACATTGCAGCACCGAGGGCCAAGCTGCCTCCTGAGTGTGACATGTGCACAAGTCTTTCTGGGTGACATTCACCACTCCAAGTCACTCGATGTGTCACTCAAAATGCAAAAATGAAGTGTGCACACGCATGCACATTGTTTGGGGACTAATGCTTGCATTCCCAGTCTACACCTGCAGATAGATGATAATGAAGCGTGAACATTTATCTAGAGGGGTTTTGTGGCCTCAAGTTTTCATACTGGGTACTTAATTTTTTTTACGTTTATCATCTCAAGTTGTGTTATTGTCTAAGTTGACTTAATTAACTACCATCTCCCTAATTGAGTTAACGAAACTTAGAGAAAAAAAATGCTTGACTGATCGAAACTGTTGTTTGGATCCATGAATGAGCAGGTCAGTGGTAAATATTAGTAACAGCAGCCATGGAATGGGTGCTCTTTCTGGGCTCAGCACCCTTTTAGCGAGTGTTTACACGCTTTCTCGACTCATCTAGTTCTAACTGCCATGGGAAAGGGAGGCTTGACAAGTTAAGCACTTGCCCATAGAATAAGTGTTAGAGCTGGGATCTGAACATGGGTCTGACAGATTACAGAGCCTGAACTCTTACCCACTGTGAGCACTGCCTCCAGTTAAAGCTGCTTTGGTCCCTGAAGATGCTGAACAAACCTGGGGCGCCAGCATTGAATAGTCAGTCCCTTGTCCTGTGGTGTGAGCGGTGGCCACCAGGTGGTGCTGTGGAGAAAGAAATAACAGGTTCGGCTGTGGACTTGAATCCTAAGTCAGAAATGGGGTAAATCAGTTAAGTGAATGTACACGACATGTCCAGAAAGTTAGACCAATTGTCTGCTCTTATAGGTCCCTGCGTAGGGATCTAAGTGGGGATAATTCTTGATGTTGAGGGTGTTTTGGTATCAAAAAGAGGTATTTTCAAACTCATCCTGCCATAAGAAGTTATTTTAGATATATAAGAATTATTAGTGAATAGTTCAGGTAGAGCATTTCATTACAACAGGCCAGAAGCATATCATGAAGTGTTCCCAAGGTCTTTGAACAGGAGCAGGAGTTAGTTGTGTGTGAGCCGAGTTGTCAGGGAGAGCCTGTCATTAAAATGGATGAGTAAGAAAAGCCGGCTCCTAAATTAATAAATATTCTTATTTAATAATTTAACATATTGAAATTGAAAAATAGTCTAATGCATCGGCTACTTCAGCGATATAGAATTATCCTCACGTGCTAAGTAAAGGGTTGGCACAAGGATGCCACTGAATTAATTAAATTGAGTCCGAGCATAAATGATTCACTGACTCCTGATTCTGGCTGTGCCATGGGTATTGTTTCCATCTCTCCTGGGCTGGACAGGATTCTGATTTCCCAAGTACATTTAGCTAATAAAGTGTCATTTGTTATTATTCATTTCATTTATTTGCTGTTTTGTTTTTTTCCTTCCTTTTTTGGGTTATCCGGGGGATAACAATTTAGCAACTCAGCGCAAAAAGAGTCCCTTTTTGAGAAGCAAAAGCAAGGACAAAGACAAGCCTCCAACGGCCCACCCGGCTTTCTCTAAACGCCTGCGGTTCTGGTCTTCCTCTGACCCCCCGCCCTCTCCTAACTCCCCTCTCCCTTTTTCAGAAATTGGAGATTTCTAATCTTTTCCCTTTATCAGTGTCTTCACCATGTAACCCCCTTCATTTCTGAAATTCACACATTAAAAAAAACAGTACCTAAAGGCCAGATGACCCATAGTGGACCCCTCCTCCTGACCCCAATTCCAAGTCAAGCTTAAAGCAGCCAACGTGGATTCTGATTTCAAAAGAGAAGATGAGCTCTCACACCCTCTGGACCGTGCTTCAGCACAGCACAGTGTTAGGGGAGCCTCGGGACACCCATGCGCAGGTCCTTGGGCCGGGATGTCCATGCTAAGTAAGTTCCCCGGCCAAGTGCTGCCCCCTCTCGCACCTGCAGGCTTATATGTCATGCCTGTGTGTAATGCAGAACTGATCAGCTGTTGCTATGCTTCCTAAAATGTACAGCCTCTGTCAAGTGAGATTTTTTTTTTTTAAGACTTATTTTTGGGCAGCTAAATTTAAAACTGCTGCCCTTTTCTCCATTTTCCCTGTCAGAGCACGGAATCATTGGCTTTTGCAGATAAGTCCCTTTTTAGACGTTTTCTGTTTTGAAGAATGTATTGCTCCACTCAAGCATTTTGAATAGTTGGATCGATGTTGCCGAGCCAGGGTTCAGCCCAGAGTGACGTTGTATGGCTGTGCTGAGGTCCTCTGACATCTCGGATGCTGGTGCTAGAGCAGCAGTGGACAGACGGAACATCAGCACGCAGTCACCGTCAGAGCGGGGGATGCTGGTCCACAGAGGCCTTTAGCTACTGGATTGTTTCCTGTCTTCAGCCATCCTTGTACCATCTCCATGATTTTTGCCGTGTCTGTATCACCTCTGTGATTACTTACATAATTTTCCTTGAATCAACTCACCGTTTCCATTTAAATTTATTTTAAAAGGAAAGATTTATCAGTACAGTAAATGGAAAACCGGTATCACCATAAAAATGAGGTAACCATAAAAGTAAATGTGTGACTATCCCTCTGCTCGAGTCAGTGGATGTGGCACTGACTTCGCCTCGTGCACCTGCTCTGACTCCTGGGCTGCCTCGTCCTGTCTGCGTCCGCCGCCCCCCAGCAGCCGTGGGCCGCGCACGGTTCCTCTGCCACTGCTGCTGTTCGCTCATCTCCGCCTCTCCCCGCTCCTCATGTTAGCTTCACCCTGTGGATGCCTGTCCGATTCATTCCACCAGACTTGAATCTTGCTTCTCATCAAGGTTATCTTTCAAAATCCAAATTTCCCTTGATTTCAAGTCATAAGACGTGGTTGCTTAGAACTTCACAGTGAGTCCAGATGTTGAGGGGCTGGGGTGGGGGGGAAGGTCCCAGGGAGAGAGTGGAGAGGGCCCGGAATCCCGACTGGGTCCACAGGCCTTGGGCTGCCTGGAGCAGGATGCTGTGCCGAACAGCATTGTCCTCATGCTCCTAGGAGCTCCAGCTGCGTTAAATTTTTTTAAATGCTTTTATTGATTTTAGAGAGAGAGGAAGGGAGAGGGAGAGAGAGAGAGAAACATTGATGTGAGAGCAAAACATCGATCTGCTGCCTCCTGCACGCCCCCTACCAGGCATTGAGCCTGCAACCTGGGCACAAGCCCTCACCGGGAATCGAACTGGTGACCTCTTGGTTCATGGGTTGACGCTCAGCCACTGAGCCACCCTGGTTGGGCAGCCGTACTGATTTTTAACTTGTATTTGGAGAGCCCATCCCCTTTCCTACAACTAGGTAGTTGAAGGCCTTTTTGTTTTGTTTTTTTTCCCAATTTTTTTCTTTAATTAGAATTTATATTTCGCTTTGACAAGAGTATATGTTCACGGTAGAAAATTCAGAGATTGCAGAAAAGCACAACTACAAGGTAAACGTCATTCTGATGGGCAGTGTTACTATACAGAGACAGAGACTTCTCAGACAAGTTATTGTTAGGGCGGCAACAAACTTCTTTCTCAAATCATAAGGGAAGCCCATTGGCAGGATGTATATCCTGGACCTTGAGGGCCTTGACTGCAGGCCTGGAGTGGTCCTGAGCAGGCAGCTGTCAGGGTCTTTTTAAACCAGAGGTTTGAGCGACACAGTGTTACACGGCAGGTGTGCCAAGTAGTTAGTGTTGGACTTTTACCAACGTTTTATTGAGCCTCTTGAGTCTGTCCTTTATTTTCTTCTAGCTGCTCAGGGCTCATACTGTGATCTCTCTTGGAGCCAGAGCCCGCCTCCTGAGGCCCCCGCTCAGGCCTGCAGCCACGGCCCCCCGTGGAGACCACAGGCCGTGAGGCGCGCAGCCCAGCTTCTGTCCCTGTGGTCCGTGTGCCCTGTTGCCTCTGCTTCTAGACCTTGGTGTGACAGCCCCACCTTGGCATGGGATCTTGCAGCCCCATTTCTCACTGTCCGTCTCTGCCCCAGGCTCTGGGGACCTAAGACCAAAACGAGGGTCCCCCCACGGAGGCAGCCTTGACCGCACGGATGCCTCCACTGACCCAGCCATGAAGCCCTGGCCGTCAGAGCTGGGTTCCCGGACCTGCTCATCCTCAGCCATCACTACAACCCCTTCCAGCTCCACCCCCATCTCCCGGCACCCAGGCCGCACCAAAGGTGAGTCACGGGTCCCTCCAGAACCAAAAGGGATGAGCATCTGGGACCCAGGGTCCTTCCTGGAGACCCCCACTCTCAGAGGCAGGAGTCTCTCAGACTGAGAGGTGGTCAGCAGATCTGTTAAGCTGCGGACAGGCTTTGGCACCACACAGGTTCTGACCTCGGCTCTGCCTGCAGCTCTGTGACTTTGGGCAGATAACTTCACCACTGGGGGCCTGGTCCTGAGCCGCTAGTGGGAAAGCCCAGAACCCACCTCCACTGCTCAGGAATTGGTGGCACCAAGCAGCTCCAGAACAGAGGTGAATCAGAGTTTGGGCTAAAATGAAGCAACATTGGAGGTTTATTCTCCAGAAAGATTCACAGGGTCTCTGAACTGGAGGTCAGTTGATAAGAGTGGAGGGCAGGTGTCCTAAACTGAAAAACGAGGGGGTTCGGGAAAGGATTTACAAAACGGAATGTCTCCCAGGATGCCAGTGATACTAAAATATTCTTGAAGTCATCTGGTTAGCTGGAGAAATTCCCAGCAGAACAGTTTGGTCACATCTTGCCAGGTGAAGCCCATGAAAGGTCAGGGACACCAGACACCTGAGGAGATCCTGCAACAGCAGAGACAAGTCAATGTGAGAGGCAACAGTCAACGGTCATTAGGCACAGGGACAAAAGCTTTAAAATGTCCATCATTAATAGTGGAGTAAGCGAATCTGCACCTGTGAAACGAGAGCAGGATGCTGTAAAAAAGAACAGTCGGTTGGGGAAAGCACTTGGAAATTTAAAATACGCAAACAGAAAGGGAAAAATAAAGCTTAAAACTAAAAAAGACATTCTGCTTATAACTTAGAGATGAAAATATCTGAAGACAGCAAGAAGAGCTGAAAATGACTGCCCCTGGGGGGGTGTTAGAAATTGACAAGAACAATAAGGGGTTGTTATTTCCATAATAATACCACCCACTGGATTTTTGGAACTGTGGCATGCCTACCTGGGTTTGATAAGCCAAGCAAAGACAGACAAGGTCCCTGCCCTCAAGGCGTGCCTGGGTTAGCTTCAGGACCTGGTCCCCAGTAACACCCCTGGGAGAAGATGAGTTGAGTGAGCACAGGGCAGCCGGGCAGCCCTTCTGCACTCCTGGCCAGACACTGAAAACGTCTGCGGCAGGCACGCTCAGGTGTCTGCTGTCAGCAGTCTGCCCCAGTCTCCCAGGCTCTGCAGTGCAGAAGCCCTGCCTGGGCTCGAGCAGGAGCTGGGAACACCATCTCCCCTTGGGTTTCCAGTGCCCTGTGTGGCTCAAGGCCTGGCCCTCCAGGCTCAGCCATAGGCTATCTCAGCCTGAATCCCACCCTGAGCCAGAGCCCACGCCTGTTCATATGCCTGCAGAGCCTGCCCGAGGGCCCGTCACACTGCAAGCCCATCACTGTCCACGGCTATTCCCTGGCAGCCAGTTCTCAGGTGGACGTGTAACTGCAAAATGGAAACCCTGGTGTCATTTTGGAGGGGATCCGGGGCTGCTGTCAGAGAAACTAGCAGGTTTGAGGCGCAGGGCATTGTAGTCCTTCTCGGGGAAAGAACAGTGCCTGGTGGCCCGTGGGTTCCAGGCTGTTTCTGGTTAGGAGCTGCTGGTGCAGGGCTCAGTTTCTAGGGTCTCAGCATCCTCCCTCAGGTGGTGGATTCTTTCCTTCTTCCTCCAGCCACCTGAAGAGAACATGGCCCTGGGAGAGCATTGCTTTCACGGCCCTCTGCTTTTGGTACAGCTGCCTTCGGGATTGGAAGGGGCTCCCAGGGTACTGAGTATCAGTTCCTTCTGCTGTATTATCCTCAGGCCAGGCACTGCTTTCGTTTGAATCCCAGTCATTGCACAGGTGGAAGCGTGGTCTAAAGTTCAGTCAAATAGAGGTCCAGAGTGTGAGGCTGTCCCAGCAGGAGAAATAGGGGGAGGGATGGTCCAGGCGGGTCCTAAGGGCACGGTCTGCATGTCCCTCCCTCCTCCAGGAGCTGGCCACCACCACCACTCAGGCGCTGGGCAAGAGTCAGAGGTGGCCGTCTGGCAAAACGCCCTGGTTTCCCCCTGGGTGTTCCAGGTCCCCTGACTCACCAGCCTTATTTTCACCATAGGCTATAATTCAGATGACAGCCTCTGTGAGCGGTCCCTGGAGCTCAAGTTCACCAACCACAGGCAGCACGGTGAGTGGTTGGTGTGTGGTGCCCTTCAGCCTGGGTTCTCAGACCTGTTTTCATCAACAGGACTTGTCGTTCCAGCTAAGTCCTGTGTGGAAGTGCACACACAAAATAGGTACAAGTAGAGCTATTAGGCTGAAGTGGGACTGGGGGACCCACAGTTCCTCAGCACTCCTTCCTTGCCCTCCCTAGGGGTCTAGGCAGGCATCTGCTTACATACCTCCAGTGATGGGGAAGTCACTACCTATCAAGTGTCCTACTTCCAGAGGCTCTGACTCCCCTTACTTTAAGGCAGTTCTAGTGATCCATGCAGAGAACATTGGTTGTAGAAAGGTCTCGCTGTCCTCACCTGGAGTTTAGTTGCCCAGAGTAGCTCAAAGTTGTAAATTTTATCTCAGAAATTGTTAGAAACACTTTCCATCTGATTTAGGCATATTATAAATTTCTGCAGAGGGGAAACAGTGAATTATACCAGCCTTCTCAAAAATTAAATGTTGCTTTGGGTTTTATAACTTCTAGAAGACAAAACCCTAGAAGGGTGGGAAGCTGAATTTTTAATTACAACCAAAACTCAGGGTTTTCATTGGATTCAGCTTCTGAAGCAATCAGCAATAAGTGTAGGCATGAGCGTCATCCCCTGCCCCTCTCCATTGCCTGAAAAGTTCCATGGTGCTGGCACTGACTCACACACAGACATGTATGACTTGGGGATAAAGACAGGCTCTGTGGTGCAACAGTTTGACCACGGAGCCCTCCCATCTTTAAGTTTCACAGAGTAGCCAGATCAGCTGACGAAAAGGTTTTTCTTTCTGAGTGTTCTGATCCTCAAGCTTCTCTGATTGAGAACAAGGCGGAGGGGTTTGCAGTGAGGGCTCGAATATAAGTATCTTCAGAGCCCATCGATTTGTATCACAGTTGCCTTTTAGTGACATGTGCTTTTCAAAGAGAAAAGTAGATTTTTTTAGTTCAAATTTTCCCTTCTCAAAGAGGGGACTTGTTCTGCTTCTATGCTCTTCGCAAAATCCAAGTATTTTTGGCTCACTCCTAGACTCCATTGCTAACAGGTTTTTTCCAGATGCCTGCTATTTGCGGAGCACGCCGGCACTTGGGAACTGGGAGCCCTGTAGACCCAGTAAATCCAGAGCAGACTGCTTGGCGGGGCAGGAAGCAGAGCATCTCCTGGTGCAGCTCAGCTCAACACCAGCTGTGTGCAGGGACAATGAAAGCGCAGTCCCTGTCCCCCTGTCAGTGTGCAGCAGGACAGACCCTGATGATACACAGGGCAGGGCCGTGGTACTGCGTGTGCTGGAGGCGGGGACCAGGAGGGGGGGTCTGCAGGCCTGGGAGGGGCAGCCTGCCCTTGGCGGGGGTGCTGCAGGGAGGGTGGCTTACCCTCCTGCAGCTGGTGCTCACCCTCTGCTCCGAGGGCTGTTGTGGACATGCTCAGGCAGGTGCACAGCAGCAGCCAGGAGGGCTGGCTCCCCCAACACTTTGCACCGTGAAGGTCGATTCCCCCCGCCCCTCCGCCTTGGCAAATGTAACTTGAGACAAAGAGAAGGAGCTGAAGGACTGTAACCAACCAAGAAAAGCGAGCGCTGTCTTCCCTCCTGAGGGTCCCAGCCCCCACCGACATGAAGGGCCCCATGCGCATGGGCGCAGGCCTCATGGTACGCACGTGGACACACCCACACTGCCGTGTCTTGGCTCCTGCCCTCGCCAGGTGGCACTGTCCTCGTCCAGGCAGAGTGTTTCCATGTGTGTTTGAGGAAGTTCCATGTGGTAATGAGGGTGGGCTTCCCCCCCCCAGCCCGTTGCTTACCCAGAGTGTCCTTTTTTTGTGTCTCTACTGGAGTTTTGCATGAAGTTTCCTAGGTTGACAAAGTTGTTTGAGGCCGCCACAGCCCTAGATCTCACACGGTAGTACAAGTTGTCGCTCTTGATGGCCCACTGTGAGTGGTGCCCAGCACTCAGGTGAGGTTGGACCCCTCCTAGGGCAGTCTAAAGAATCTTGAAGTCTCCTTCCTGAGGACGTTGCCTGAACATAGCAGAATCACTTTGTTACCTAACTGTTTTCAGAGTGGATGATTTAGTCTGGGCTATGCTTGGTCATCGGCCCTTTAGGCTAAGTGTTGTCATGTCCTTTCAGGGTCCCGGCCAGGTAGCCTAGAGAGCAGCAGGAATGCGTCCAGTGACAGCTCCCCTCTTAACCTGAAGGGTAAGTCAGTCTTTCCTCCTGTGCACTTTTCAATGCATTTAGAGCTTTGGCCCTGGGCTTATATTGTTTGTATGATTTTAAAAGTACGACTGGCAAGGTTCTTCAAAGCATCATGCGTTTGCATTCACAGGGCCACATCACACAGCTTCAGGCTCTGGCCTGGGGGTTTTAACGGGTTTGGGTTCAAATCCCTTCTTCTCTACTGACCAGCTCTGGGCATCTGGGCGAGTCACCCATCCTCTTGAGTCTGAGTCCCTTCAGCTTCAGGATGGGGACAGTGCCAGTAGTTCCGGTCCATACTGGTCAGAAGACACAGTGGGTGACTGAATCCTTTGTGATGTTAAAAGTTTGTTTAATGGTGCAGAATGCAGTCTGTGCTGTCCCAGGCTAACGAGCGTGGTGCTTACAGCTGTTGATAATTTGCGATTTAGCAGAAGCTTTCCACCTTTATCCCAAGTTATTTTGTTTTTAAATGCCAGTGTGAAATTCTGGAGAATTCCAGAATATCCTGGACATCCACAGTGCCAGCCTGGGAGAAGTGTGCTCTGGGTTCCCGGGCAGGGCTCTCTCTGTTCAGTGAGCTGAAGGCAGTACAGAGCCCACTGGATGCAGGCGAGAGAGCGGGAGACCGACGTGTGTCCCTCTGTGCCCCCCCGCCCTGACCCAGGTTCTTCCGACCAGCTCCACCGCAGGTCCGAGAGCTTCAGCAGTGAAGACCTGATACCCAGCAGGGACACAGCCACCCTGCCCCGTGATGCCAGCAGCCCAGGGCGCACTGCCCTCAGCCGCCACGATTACCTGCCACCCTGGAATGGGCCTCTCCTCCAGGAGGGCATCCAGAAGAGGGGTGTGGCCCAGCCCCAGGCCCGGGTGCGGCCCTGCGCCTCCCCGAGCAGCGAGATGGTCACCCTGGAGGAATTCCTGGAAGAGAGCAACCGGGGCTCCCCCGCGGCTGTGAGTGACCCAGGAGCTCTCTTTCCTCACCCTCTCAGATAGATGGGGACAAGAGGCAGAGACCTTGACAGCAAAGCACAGAGAGGGCTGGGGTGGGGGTGGCACACCCTGGGTACAGAGCCGGCTCGGATGGGGGAGCATAACCCTAGCCAGAAAATACCGCATGCTGGCAGCTGGCCCAGGCCTGGGGGCTGTTTCCTCCATCTGTGAAGCGAGCGGGCAGGAATGTGTTGCCAACATGGAGGGTGAGAGGGTGTGTGCCCACCCCCTGGAGCTCCCCTGAAGATGTGGCCAGCACCCACCTGCAGAGTTAGGATCTCGAGCTAGGTGTGTGGCAGAACTCTGAACACCCACTTACTGCTTCACCAGCAGAGGTTGGCAGATTTTTTTCTGTAAAGAGCCAGATAGTGAATATTTTAGGCCATGCACTCTCTGTTGCAGTTACTCTAGTCTGCTGTCTGGGCAGGAGGCGGACCTCGGCCATTGCTCAGTGAGTGGGCACGGCTGTGCTCCAGCAATACTAAGGGACATTGGCATTTGAATTTTATAAAGTTTTCACAAAAGACTGTTCTTTTAAAAAAATTATTTTAATCATTTAAAAATGTAAGAACGATTCTTAGCTCACAGGTCATTTGAAAACGAGGGGCAAGCTGGAGCTGGCCCGCAGCTCGAGTGTGCTGAGCTCTGTCCTGCGGCTCTGACCCCCTAGACATCAGCTGTGTTGGGAAACCCTCCAGCATTTGTGTAGCTCTCCTGCAGTTGCACATGTGCCTTCACACGGTCTGTCTGAGTTCCTGCTTCGAGCTGTCGGGTCACTGCAGGGATGAAGTACACTGCCGTACACTGTCCTATTCCCCTTAAACACACAGTAGAACTTTCTCTGGCCACACCATAAATCCTGTGGCCTGCATTAGTAGAGTCCAGTGATGCACAGAATACAAAGCATTTGTTCAGTAGGCATTTATTGAGCAGGTACTATGTTTTAGGCAGCGCAAGTGATGCCTGCTGTCAAAAAAAAGAGAGTAAACCAGTTCATCAGTAAGTTTTATCACATGCTTGCTAGGTGCCTAGTCCTGTGGTCAGCCCTGAAAGGAAATACGTATCCTGGTCTGTGCGCTCCCTTCATTTCTATTTCTTCCTATAAAGCACGGTGTGCCCGGAGCTGGAGAAAAACCAAAGCCCTGCCCTCAAGGTCACAATCTGATGCTGTGGCTCTCACACGCCGGCCTGCACCACGCTCCCCTGGGCTGCCCAGCCACAGGCTGGACCCTGGGGTTTCTGATTCAGGAGCTCTGAGGGCCCCCCCTCCCAGAATCTGCATTATGACCAAGTTCCCAAATGATGCCTTGTTCTTTTCAGCCTAAATGAGACCAAAGCAACCTTGCTGCAGGATTTGGTTATGGAAGCAGACGCTCCGCTCCTGAGAACCACCCCCACTTCCCTCCATCTTCCCAGTGCTCTCCCCCACTAACCTGACACCCCCTCCCCTCCTCTCCCCTGAGCAGGCCTGAAGAAGTGGAAGTCACAGTGGTGCCCCTACCCACTCCTCCACTCCCTGAGTGTTGATGCTGGGAGAGGATGCCACAAGATTGGCTGTCTGGGTGGCCAGAGAGGGTGGACTCATGAAGATGGGTGTCAAAGATTTAGAAACGTGCAGAGAGGAGTCAGGTGGTATGAAGGACAGCTGCAGAGTCAGACGGCTGTGGGTTCAAATCCCTGATCTGCCACTCTCTAGGTGAGGGACCTGCTTAACCTTTGCAACCTCAATTGCCTTACCTGTTAAAGGTGCTTTAAATACAACCTTGCAAGAGTGCTTTGAAAACTGAATGAGTTTGGGGCGGGAGGGTTGTTCTTGTTTTGCAATTACACCTGTGGTTTCTAGCATAGTGCCTGCACATGGGAAGCAGCTGATAAATGGTGCCTGTTGATATTAATGACCACAGGTCTCACTGTACAAACACCCAGGATATGTGACTCCTAACAAGCATGTAAAACAGCAGACTGTGTCTCTGTCAAGTTGAGTCTCCAGATGTCTTCCTGGGCCAGGAGTTGTTGGCAGGTGCAAGTGGCTCCCAGGCTGCCAAGCCGTCCTGCAGACTCACGCTCCCTGACACAGGTCTAGCTGGCCAGGGTCTGACTCCGTCTGCTCTTGAACCCTGGCTCTCGTCTTCCGCGCGCACTCGCTTCCTTTCCTCTTCTCATGGTGTCCATCCGCCTCAGGAGACACCCCCACTAGGCTCCTCCAGGCCGTGAGGCGCTGGCAGAGGGCTGCAGTTACCAGAGCAGAGTCAAACCTGGGCGTCCGGTGGCTCTGCTCACCCCCAGCGTGGTGGAAAGGGACACTGGGTCCCTGGCCAGGGGAAGCCCGGCCCGGCACAGCTGCTCAGCTGGGTAGCAGCTTGAAGGGAACAGTGGCAGGGTGGCTGTCCCCTGCGCCGCAGCCTTGAGTTCCCCTCAGTAGCCCACCTTGCTCGTCTCCCCCTTCTCAGATCAAGGGAAGAATCTAGGTGGCAGCAAGGGCTTTGAGTGTGGCCTCGTTTCTCTTCCTTGTGGCCCAAGATGAAGCCCTGGCCAGGTGTCTGAGCGGGTGGCCTGAGAAGGAACAGAGGACAGTCCGACCCGTCAGCTCTGCCTCCCGCTCTGCGTGGTGGGAGTGAGGAGCAGATGGAAACCGTTGGCCGTGCCCAGGCTTCCAGCCCTGACCGTCCCATCCAGTGGATGCGTCTGTGGAAAGCCGTTTCCCTCCCTGGGTCTGCCTTCTTGCTGGTGAAGTTAGGGGGCTGCCTGAGTGACATTTGGCTTTTCTCTACGATCCGTGTGTGGCCCAAGCCTCCCTAAGGGCAGCATGTGTGGTGGGGGCACCGCTAGGCTGTGAAAAGGCCCAGCAGAAGCGGGAAACTTCAGTCCTGGCCGCGTGGCCTGCACAGGGACCTCCCAGGTGGGAGAGGCTCTCCCACTGAGGTGGGGGTGCAGGACCCCCCCAGCCCTCAGTCCCGCCTCTCAGTTCCTCCTCTCTTCTCTGTAGGAAACTCCCAGCTGCCGGGATAACCTGCTAAGTGACCTCTTCAGAAAGGCCAGTGATCTCCCGACCCTTGGAGGCCAGCCGGGGCCACCTGCCAGGAGAGAAGGGGCCAGGATGCCCACCAGCTTTGTGGCCCCCACCATCAAGATGGCTGTCAGCACCTCCGAGGGGAAGCTGCTGAAGCCGGGGCAGTGTGTGAAGCCCAGCTTGAGACCTGCTGAGGCGGAGGCCCCACCCAGTGCCCCGCTGAGGCAGGCCCAGCCTCCCCAGAGCCTGTCCCTGGGCAGAGCCCCGCAGGCCACGATGCCCCCAGCCTCCCACACACCTGCCAGCCGGAGCGCGACCCTGAGCCGGGCCTTCAGCCTGGCCTCGGCCGACCTGCTGCGGGCCAGCGGGCCAGAGGCCTGCAAACAGGAGCCCCCACAGAAGCCGGGGGATCCTGAGGCCTCGGGGGGCAGAGAAACAGGCAGCCACGCCCTGCAGAGCCCCACACCCCCCAGCTCCCACAGCCTGGTCCGGGAGAGGACCCCACTTATGGGAAAGGCTGGTGGCTCCTGTCAGGGCCCGGGTCCCCGAAGCCGACCACTGGACATGAGGCGCTTCTCACTGGCTCCCCCAAAGGAGGAGAGGCTGGCTCCCCTGCAGCAGTCGGCCACAGCCCCAGCCATCGCCACTGGAGGTGGTGGTGGCAGCAACTCCTCGCTCCAGCACTTCTCACCTGCTACAGCCCCGGCTGCCAGGACTAAGCCCCAGACCCCCCAGCACTCAGGGGAAGTGGCCACCGTCACCCCTGTCCGAGCAGGGCTCAGCCTCTCAGAGGGCGACGGGGCCCCAGGACAGGGCCACAGAGAGGGGCTCCCTGCCAAGAGCCCGGGCAGGTCTCCCGACTTGGCTCCCCACGCCAGCCGGGCCCCTGAGGACTTCAGCCATGGGAACAACTCGAAGAGCACACCAGCGTCCCCGGAGCCGGCTGGGGACCAGCAGACGGTGTGGTATGAGTATGGCTGCGTGTGACTGTCTCCTGGACCAGCAACTCCTGAGCCTTAAAACTACCGGCGCGCCTTCTGACGGCAGCCGTCCCTCCTCCTGCCTGTGGTGTCGGGAGGGGGTTTAGAATGGGAAGGGGTTCCCGTGTCCTTCCATTTGTTCTGTTAGAGAAAACACTGTGCCAAGCCCTAAAGGGTGACACTCCCAGGTGTGGGACACATATCCGTAGTCTCCAGCAACTGGTATCTTTTGAACAAATCCACTTTGGCCTGGGGATGCTCGTACTGTAAGGACAAAACTGACATCCCCAAAGCAGACACTATTGGAGCGCCCCTTAGAACACTGCTTTGCAACTTGTTGACCTCCGTTAAAGCGTGTGTGTGTGCACGCGCATGTGCAGACGCACAGATGCGTGCCCGCTCACAGGGCTGAGCCCCCGTGGGTCGGAAACTCTACTCCCTCTCCCAGGAGCCATGGGATCCTAGGAGAAGCCCAGACCGCCAAACTACAAAGATCTTGAGGCCCTGGGCAGACCCTAGAGTCAGGCTCACTTAACCAAGAGTGTTGCCGAGCCAGTCCTGGGGTCCCATGTACTTCCCTTCCCCCAGGGCCAAGGTGGCCTTCCAGGCAGGTGGCTCCTAGGGCCACACTGGAACCTGCCTTCCCTGGCTCACTTTTCTGCAAACACTGGATCTGCTGGGCCTTGGGGGTGGGGCAGAGAGAAACCCTGCCCGGCCCCCTCCCAGCAAGTGTACATAGTGTACAGAGGGGAGTGTGTGCCAGAGTGAGGTGCACGCCTGAATGTCCCCCATGATTTATTATTTCTGAATAACTTGCTGTAGAAACCAAATTTCTTTTAATATATTACATACATGTGTACACACTCGTAAAACATACTTTGAGGGGGAACCTCAGGGTGTCACAAAAAAATATATATATACTTTAACAGCCGATAACTCCTTTTCAGGTTTAACGGACTTGAAATGACTCCTGCGTGTGCGGTCCCGTGGCTCCGCGTCACCAGCAGCGCTGGACCGGAACCGCCGCGGGGTCGCACACGCAGGATCACTCGGTAGCTGCCCTCGAGTGGTTGACTGGCGCCGGGTTTGCACTGTAAACTTCCTTTCATGTATCCCCATAAGAAAGTCTAGTGGGTAAATTTTCTTTATTCAAGCGTAGTCTGGCTTCATCCATTACTTCAAATCAGTTAACTCAATTTTGACTCCTTTTCAGGTTTATCAGCTGTTAAAGTGTGTGTACGTTTTGGGGGGACACCCTATATTTATGCTCCATTGGGAGTCACTTTCCATCAGGAGTCTTACCTGCTGCTGTGTGTATTTGGCCAGGTTCCTGACACGTTCTGTTTCCTGTTGTTTACTAAAGGTGCTCTTCCTGGATGTACTAAACCTGGTGATTTTGGTTTTATAAAGATTTTTTCCTTTTGAGTTAATATACTGAGAAAGAAATGGGAATGTAACATGGTTGATTTTAGGAGCGCTTGGGGTGTGTATTAGCCATGGATTTTGGACTCAAGGATGGGGTTGTAATAAAATGAGGTGGAGTAGAATTGAGTCCTAGTTTTCCTCACCGCTCGTCCCTGGCAGCGCTGATGGGGCGTCGGGCTCCCCGGGCTCCCTGCCTTAGCCCCCCAGTCTCCTGGCCCCTGGGACCCACAGCTCCTGAAAGCGAGGTTTTCCTATTTACTATGCAACAGCCTTTTTCCAGACTTGCATTTATTTTAAGTTCGTGTAAGTTGAATCCCATTTTGACACAGGATTTATATTACAGCAGGAGCTCAGCTTAAAGTGATCCTTTGGATTTTTCCAAGACTGCTCTGGAGTTTAGATCCTGAAGGCCTCGGGCTAGATGCTTAAAGGTGCGGGAGGGAAGAAGGCATGTAAAGGTCCCCACCCAACCCAATCTTCTGATGGTTTTCTGTCCGGCTGCTGCCTCCATGCCCCTGCCTTCCTCACCAAACCTCTTTTGTACAAGCGTCTCCTCGAGCCCCCTGTCCCCTCTTTCCCCAGGTTCTGCAGTCCGTCGTAGGGCGACCGCTCGAGGGAGCTGCCATTGGCAGTGCTTTGAGCCAAACTGAGCAGCAGCACCTGCAGGCTGTGTCCCCTGCGCCTTTGGCTGTTGCAGGATCTGACCCCTGGCCTGTCACTCCTTGGAGCTCTCAGCCTCTGGCTCAGCCTCCTTCTCTCCCCTCTGGGGCAGCTCTCCAGTGCTCACACTTGCTCTCCCTCAGTCATTCACTCCTTCCTCCCACATTCATTGAAAGCTCCTGTGTGCTCACTCCTGGGTTCCACCTTCGAGGCACCTCCCTCCATGCCCCCTTCAGGGCTGACCCCACCCTGCTTCCCTGGCACTGACCACCCCTGAGCTTCTGACCTGAAGTCAGCTGCCTGTTAGACCCCCTGCCTGGACTGCAGGCTTCCTGGACTCTCCCCAGCTCCTCAGGGCTCCCTACTTAATCCAATGACCCCAGCTGTCAATCACAGGAGCCCAAAGCCTGTGATGCAGGCTTGACGCCTCCTTTCCCCACATCTCACATTTTATAGGTCACCTGAACCTGAGAATGTGTCTGGAATTTGCCCGCCCCCATCTTAGCTAACTGTTCTCATGTTAGGTGGCACCCCTGACCCTGGGTCTTGGCAGGGGCTTGTCAACCGGTCTGCCTGCTCACACAGCTTCTCAGCCCCGTGGCACCTCCCAGGCATTCACCCCAGGTGACCTGCCTTTTTGAACATTCCCTCCCTCAGCCTCCACATGAGCTACACCCACCCCTTTGCGGTCTGAGTTCTCTATGTGGCTCACCTCGGGGTGCACCCAACCCTCTGTCTCCTGCTCTTCCAGCCCCAGACAAGCTCATACACATCCACAGCTTTCATTACAAACTTCCCAGAGGCTCCAAACATCTCTAGCCCCAGCCTCTCCTCGGAACCTCCAGATCTGTTTCCAGTTTGGATGTCCCAAGACACCTCCAACNTCCTCGGAACCTCCAGATCTGTTTCCAGTTTGGATGCCCCAAGACACCTCCAACTCAAAATGCTCAACACAGTTCACCATCCTCCCCCTACCCACGCCTCTGTTCATCTCATCACATCTGTCCCCTTACATCCAGACCATGTTTGGCATCCCCCTTTCTCTCCCCCATGTCCTATCCATTACTCCATCAACTCTGACATCTGGTTTCAACTCGTTCCACCTCTGACATCTCGCTCACATACCCGGCCAACCCCAGGTGATGGGCCCCTGGGCAGTACCCCAGGGTCCTGTTGCTGAGGGGACCTCCCAAATCATGCCCCTGCTGAGCTCCAGGGCCCCACTCTCTCTGCCCTGGGCTGGAAGATGTGTGATCTGATGGGTGGGAAATATCCCAAGTGACAGATATTTGTGCCCACAGCTCAGGGCTGAGGTGTGCCTGGAGAGAGATTTGGGGTTACCTGTGGGACAAGAGGGGCTCACTCTGGGGAGAACAGTAGAGTGAAAAAATTAGAAAAGGTAGGATAAACCTTGGGAAGCATCCAGCTGAATGTTTATCAACCAGCCAGAGGAAGAGGGAATATATTTATATGTAAGCATGCATATATTCACACATATATATGTATGTATGTGCACAGCCAATTGATCCTCTTAGAAAGCTCCCATTGAGTTTTGCCAAACTCGTGTATTTATAGCCAGACTATGCTTGCTCTCAGCTGAAGGCTAAGTGTAGTTCCAACGTGAATGTTGGGTAATGTTTTCTTTTATGTTATCAAGAAAAACAAGCTGAAGATGTTTTGAGAGCTTCACTTATTTGTTGGTGATATGAGTGGAACACTCAACCAGGTAGTCATTTTCCGAATGCCAGATGAAGTTCCTCTATTTCTTGTAATGTATTTGCATTGTAATGGCTACAGACATTTTTTAAAAAAAAAAATAGATGCAATTTACACACCATAATATTCACCCAAGAAACACTTTTAAGTTTAATCTTTACTATTAACATTTTCTCCATCCCTTAAGTCTAGAGACCATAGACACTGAAGAAAACAAATCAAGCCCCGATTTGGTAACATTTGCCAATTTCTATTGTGTAAATATTTTCACCACAGCCCATTTCAAGCTGCCAACATGTGTCACTAGCCACAGAGATGGGAAGAGATGTGCCCGGTCACCCTGTCACCCTGTTATATAATACCACCTGCATACAGATACAATAGGTATAAATAACCCCAAGAGCACAGGTAACAGTAAAATAATTACGAGTGGTAAGGTTTGAGTATTTTATTACCTTTATTGTTAATATAAATTATTTAATCGCAGGTTTACATAAGTTAATTTTTCATGATGGCCGTGTTTAACACCTGGCCTGCGAAAGCCCTGGAAACTCATGGATCTGCTCTCACAGGCCAGGGCGGCGGCTCCAGCCCCTTCTTTTAGGGATGGGCCGAAAGGGAAGGGACAACAGGGGAGAAGTGGCCGAAGAAGAAGGGGGTGCCCAGAGCAGAGCAGCCGGCCCGGGGGCTTCGCGGACCCGCCCTCCTGGCCCCTGTTGCACAGGGCGGGCAGAGAGGCCACGTGGGCCGTGGCTGGAGGCTGGAAGCTGCCCAGGCTTCCCTCCCTCCTTCCACCCTCACTCTGTGACCTCCTCCAGGGGTAGAGCGGAAGGGGGGCCGTGGGAAACCATCGCCTCCCCATGTGTGAAGTGGGGCAGAGGGGACCTCAGAGTCCCGCAGGGGCCCGGGAGGAGGGGGGGTCCTGGCAGGGCTGGCACGTGCCTGGGGGCTGGGGGCGCTG